TGTAGTGTAGTTTGAAGTCACATAGTGTAATGCCTTTGGCTCCATTTTATTTTATTTTTTGCTCAGGATTGCTTTGGCTATTCATGGTCTTTTGTTGTTCCATATGAATGTTAGGATTGATTTTTCTATTTCTGTGAAGAATGTTGTTGGTATTCTGATGAGGACTGCATTGAATCTGTAGATATCTTTGTGTAGTATGGACATTTTCACAATGTTAATTCATCTAATCCAAGAGCTTGGAATGTCTTTCCATCTTTTTGCATCCCCTTTAGTTTCTTTTCACAGTGATTTGTACTTCTTGTTGTAGAGATCTTTCACCTCCTTGGTTTAATTGATTCCTAGGTATTTTTTTTTTTTCATGACTATTATAAATGGGCTAGCTTTCTCAATTTCTTTTTCTGCTAGCTCGTTACTGGAGTATAAAATGCTACTGATTTTTGTATGTTGATTTTGTATCCTGCAACTTTACTGAAATCATTTATCAGCTGTAAGAGTCTTTTGGTGGCATCTTTGTTTTTCTATTTATAGGATCATGTCATCTGCAAATAGTGACAGTTTGACTTCATCTTTTCCCATCTGGATGTCCTTTATTTCTTTCTCTTGCCTGATTGCTCTGGCTAGTAGTTCCAATACTACGTTAAATAGGAGTGGTGAGAGTGGGCATCCTTGTCTTGTTCCTCTTCAACTTTTTGACTTTTCCCCATTCAGGATGTTATTGGCTGTAGGTTTGTTGTATATGCCTTTTATTGTGTTGAGATGCTTTCCTTCTACACCTAATTTGTTGAGAGTCTTTATCATGAAAGGATGTTGAATTTTGTCAAATGCTCTTTCTGCATCTATTGAGATAATCATATGATGTTTGTTTTTGATTTTGTTGGTGTGGTGTATCCATTGGTCGACTTGCATATATCAAGCCACCTTGCATCCCTGGAATGAATCCTACTTGATCATGGTGTATACATTTTGTGATGTGTTGCAGTATTCTAATTGCTAATATTTCATTGAGGAGTTTTGCATCTATGTTCATCAGAGATAAGGAACTGTAGTTTTCTTTTTGGTTGTATCTTTGTCTGGTTTGGGCATCAAAGTGATGCTGGTCTCATAGAAAGAGTTTGGGAGGAAGGCCTGTGTTTCAATTTTTTGGAATAGTTCAAAGAGAATTGGTATTAATTCCTCTTTAAAGGTTTGGTAGAATTCAGCAGTAAAGTCATTTGGTCCAGGGCTTTTCTTTGTTGGAAGATTGCTGATTACTGCCTCAATCTCATTGCTTACTATTGGTTTGTTCTGGTTTTCTGTGTCTTCTTGGTTCAGCCTTGGTAGTTTTTACATGTCCAGAAATTTATCCATTTCCTGTAGGTTTTCAAATTTGTTGGTGCATAATTGTTTGTAATAGTCTCTAATGATTGTTTGTATTTCTGTAGTATTGGTTGTAATGTCTTCTTTTTCATTTCTGATTATTGTTATTTGGATCTTCTTTTTTCTATTTTTAGTTAGCCTATTTAATGTCTTGTCTATTTTGTTTATCTTCTCAAAAAACCAACTTTTTGTTTCATTGATTTTTTTGTATCATTTTTTGGGGTCTCTATTTCATATAGTTCTGCTCTGATATTAATTATTTCTTTCCATCTACTAATTTTGGGGTTGGATTTTTCTTGTTTTTCTACTTCTTTGAGGTGTAGTATTACACTGTTTATTTTAAATCTTTCTATTATTTGATGCAAGTGTTTATTACAATAAACTTTCCTCAGTACTGTTTTTGCAGTGTCCCACAGGTTTTGGTATGATGTGTCTTTATTTTCATTAGTTTCAAGAAATTTTTCGCTTTTCTGCTTAATTTCTTCTTGGACCCATAGGTTGTTCAGGAGCATGTTGTTTAATTTCCATGTATTTGTATAGTTTCCTGATTTTCACATGTTACTAATTTCTAATTTTAACCTGTTGAGGTCTAAAAAGACAGTTGAAATGATTTCAGATTTTTAAAATTTTTTGGGACTTGATTTGTGACCTAACATGTTGTCTATCCTGGAAAATGTTTCATGCGCTGATGAGAAGAATGTATATTCTGTAGTTGCATGAAATGTTCTGCGGATATTTGCCAAGTCCTATTAGTCTACAGTGTGGTTTAAAGCCTCTATTTCTCTGTTAATTTGTTGCCTAGATAATCTGTCCAGTGCTGAGAGAGGGTTGTTTAGATCCCCTACTAATATTGTATTGAGGTCTATCTCTTTCTTTAGGCTTAATAGTGTTTGCTTTATATATCTGGGTTCTCCAGTGTTGGGTGCATATGTGTTTATGATTGTTTTGTCTTCTTGCTTAGGTCCCTTTATCATTATATAGTGGCCTCCTTTGTCTGTTTTTATGGCTTATGATTTAAAATGTATTTTAGGACACTCTTTCTCTTTTTTGGTTTCCATTTGTGTGGAATGGAAACCCTTCACTTTTAGTCTTTTTCCGTCCCTTTACTTTTAGTCTGTGTGTTTGTCTTTACAGGTGAGATTAGTTTCTTGTAAACAGCATATAGTTGGGTCTAGTTTTTTAATCCAATCAGTCATTTGTGTCTTTTGGGTGGGAAATATAATTCATTTACATTTAGGGTTATTATTGAAAGGTATTGTCTTACTCTTGGCATTTTATTGATTTTCATTTGGATGTTTTGAATATATTTTGTTCTTTTCTTCACCTTTTATTGTTTGTCTTTTCTGTTTGTTGGTTTTTTTGAGGTGGTAAGTTTTAGTTTCTTTTTCTTTCCCATTTGCATTTTTATTGTGCCAATGGGTTTTGTTCTTTCATGTGTATTTATGGTACTGATTATTGTTTTCTGGATTACAGATGCAGGATTCCCTTGAGGATTTCTTGCAGGGCTGGCTGTGTGGTGGTGACCTCCTGCAGTTGTTTGAAAAATACACTATTTCTCCCTCATTTCTGAAGGATAGCCTTGCTAGGTATAGTATTCTTGGCTGGCAGTTTTTTTCTTTTAGTATTTTGAATACATCATCCTATTTTCTTCTGGCCTGCAGAGTTTCTGTTCAGAAGACTGCTGTTAATCTGATATGGACTCCCTTATAGGTGACTTGATGCTTTTCTCTTGCTCCTTATAGGATTTTCTCTTAGTCTTTGAGCTTTGCCAGTTTGACTATAATGTGTCTCAGAGAGGGTCTTTTTGGATTGAATCTTTTTGGGAATCTTTGAGCCTCCTGGATCTGAAGGTCCATGTCTCTCCCTTTAACTGGGAAGTTTTCCATTATTATTTCATGGAATAGATTTTCAGTGCCTTTTCCTTTCTTCTCACCTTCTGGAACACCGATGGTTCAGATGTTTATGCACTTATGGTTGTCTGCACAGATGTTTTGCACTTATGATTGTCTGTTGTACATTTTTCATTTTTTAAATTCCTTTTTTTTTTGTTCCCCTGGGTTATTTCCAAAAAACTGTCTTTGAGATCAGAAATTCTTTCTTCTGCTTGCTCCAACCTTGTTGCTTAAGCTCTCAGTTGTGCTTTTTATTTTGCTGAATGAATCATTCCGTTCCACAAGTTCTGCTACATTCTTTATTAAGCTATTCATCTCTTTGTAAATTTCCTCTTTCATATCTTGGATATTTTTTCTCATTTCATTATGTTGTCTAACTGAGTCTCCTTGTATCTCATTGAGTCTCTTTAAGATTGTTACTTGGAATTCTCTTTTAGTCATTTCAAGGATTTCTTGCTGTATGGGGTCTGGTACTTGAACATCACTGTATTCCTTTGGTGATGGCATATGTTCTTGGTTTTCCATATGCCTAATGTCATTACATTGATGTCTGGTCATCTGGTAGAGCAGTTGCTTCTTCTATTTCTCTGGAGTGGTCTTTGAAGAAAGAGAATTCCTTTCTTCTTCTGGTCTCTGCTGGTGTCTCTCCTTGTATCAATGCAGTTGAGTGGGTGGCAGGCCACCTGCACAGTGGCTGTGTCTGCTACTGTGGTGATAAGCTGCCCTTGTGACAGCAGTGGCTTTTGGCAGTGGCTGTGGTGAACCACCTGCATGGATGTGGTGTTTTTGGTGTGCTCTTGCCTTCTGCCAGGTGGTGGGTGCTGCCCATGGCTCCCACCTAGGACCCTGGGCATGCTCCTGCCTTCTGCTGGGCAGGGGGGGCTGCCCGTGGCTCCTCAAAAAATATTTAATTGGTTACAGTTACAGTTGCCTTATTTGTTCTATCCTGTTGGAAAGTCCCCAGTTATATAATTATAAGTTTGTTGGCTGCCTACGAGTGGTTGAGCTTAAGTTCTGTTTTTCTTTAATACAGGCATTTACAAGAAATAGCTCAAGTTAAGTTTCGCTTATGTTTGCAAATCAAGAAAGGTTGAGGTCACTTATGAGGCCAAACTGGTTTTGTCTGCTCAGGGATTCTTCGGGTTTGGTCTCCATTTTAATTCACTTTAACAAGATTTAAATTGCATTTTCACACCAGCTTCTATTTCCCCAGGCTGACCGTAAGCTATTGAAGGACAGATATTTTATCTTATTCACCTTTATTTCCTCAACCCTTAGCAGAGCGCCTGGCGTATGGTTGGCACTCAGTAACCAATGTTGATTGTGTATGTGAATGAGTGATGAATAAAGGAAGGGATGCAAGGAAGCTCTAGCTAAGGGATTGGTGTCTCGTGTTGCTTGGAGATTTCCCTCCCCTTCCCCACAGAAGAATGTGTGCAAGCAGCAAAGCAAAAGTGACTGTAGATTTGATAGGGAGGAGGCAAAGGAAGGGCCTTGTGGAGACAGGAGCATGCTTCAAGGCTGCAACCTGCCAGGAACTTCATCTTGACTCATCTTCTAGGGTCAGGCTGAGTAAGAGGCAGCTGAAAGTGACTTGGCTCCCTTGCTCCAACTCAGAGGCCAAGGGTACACTGTTGCCTGACCCCACAGGACTCTGGAGGGGCTCAGTCTCAATTGGGGAGACAGCTTCCTTTGTTGCTTACCCAGATTCTGTGGTGGAGAGGTTAGGATACCAGTAGAAGAGACAAGAACATACTGTAGAATGAAGAGAAATAGCATAAAGCCTCACAAAGTCCCCCAGGCCCTGCACTGAGGCTCGTTCTGATGATCTGAGTGGACAATGGAATGACCTTAATCTGGGGTTCTAGCCACTTTTCTGCTAATGCCTGCCTGGCCCCCATCTGCTCCTTGCACCACATTGCTGTGACAACCGTGGAAGGAATAGGAAGCACCAAGACGAGGCTGCATCCTGTGCAGGTAACCAGAGCAAAGAAGCTGTGCTCTTGAGGTCAGGCCATTTGTTCTGCAGGGAAGCTCATATCAAGGCTGCAGACTTGTTTTGGATTGTTGGGTGGTACTTCACTGGCTCACAAAGGAGGCATTGTGCCCTGGTCTCCTCTGGGTACTGTGAAGTAGAAAGAGGAAGGTCCAAGTCTGAAGCTCTCTCCTATGGTGTAAATTACACAACCTTAGGGAACCAAGAGGTCAACTGAATCTGGTGGCCAGGGCAGTCCAGCTGCACCAGAAATAGGAGGAGGACGGGCAGGGGAGCTTCTTCACCTTCTTCCTGAGTGTACTTAGGAATCCCTTGGCCTTCCCAAATTCCAAATCCTCTATGTCCCTTGTTAAATAGTACACCTACTCCCTGCTCCCTGGAATGGTCACCTCTCACCCATAGATAATACAATGTGGACTGCCAGGCCTCCACCCTCATTAAAATGGAGGTCAGCAAGTGCTAAATAAGATAATAAAGACGCCTGAGTGCCTGACCAAGACTTTCTCCCTGATGGTGTCAGACCACCTGAAAATAGAATGAAATCAGTGGGAAAACTTTTGGGGAGAGTGGACAGTAATCTGAGGGGTTTCATGGGGAGAATCAGGTGCTCCAAAGCCAAGTGGAAACAAACGGGAGCAGAGCACTGTGGGAAGGAAAGGCCATTGTTCCCAATGTGTTTTGTTTGGGGTAACTGAGGCAGGAGCTGTTTGGGAGATGGTAATCACAAAAGGTGCCAGAGCTAGGCCCAGGCCTTAATCCTCCCTTGACAATTTGAGGAGACATGTCACTCAGGAGAATGTGTCTTCCTTGAGCCCCTTTCATGACACGAAGCCAGGGCTTCCAGCTGGGTGAGCTGGTTCTGTTCCTTGGGAGGAGCATCTTGGGTCAGTCATGTGAGATCAGAGCTGGGTGGGCATGGTATTGCTTCACTTCTACAGCTTTGTTTCTTAGTCAGGTAAAGGGGAAATTACTAAGTTTGTCCAACTTGCAGGAAGGGTGCAAGGGTTAATTAGGGCTTGTTATTTTCTTTGAAACAAATAGATGAAAGAAAGAATGAATAGCTTAACACAGGAATCCTATCTGTATGGTCAGTTTAAAGCCCTCCCCTTCCAGTGGTTCAGATCCTTATTCCTGATGCACTGATTTTGGCTCCACATAAGCTACAGAGCCAGATTCCACTTCTTGTCCTTTGTTTTTTTTCCTTTTGGTTTCTGTGACACTACACTTCCTGCTTCTCCTCTGCTCAAGCTCTGATTGCTGCAATGCCCTGGTCTCTATCTAGCCCTTCTTCATCCCCACACTCTCCCTAGTGATCTTAACCCCTTCTTGATCCCCACACTCTCCCTAGTGATCTTAACCCTTCTACATGCAAATGACACTCACATTTACACCTTCAGCTTTGACCTCTCCTAGAAATTAGACTCGCATTTCCAACTGCCCACTTGGTATTGCTATATGGATGTCTAATCAAACTTTACAAAACCCTACTTTCCCCCCAATGTCTTCCTTCCCTAATTTTCCTCCATCTGAGTCAATGGCAAAGCCATCCACCCAATTGCTCAAGACAGAAATTTAGGTGTCACCTTTGATTCTTTCTCTCCTATGCCACACCTAACCCATCCAGGAGTAATGTCCACTTTACCTCTACAACCTGCAATGAAACCTTCTTTTTCTCTCTGTTTCCACCATTGCTACTTGGTCTGAGCTGCCACCTCCTCTTGCCTGGCCCATTACAATATCCTGGTCCCCTGTCTCTGTACTTGTCCCCTATAATTCATTCCCCACCCAGCAGTCAGAATGATTCTTTAAAAACGTAAATTACATCACATCTCTTCCTTCTGAACATTCCCCGATGACTTCCCATCACACCCAGAATAAAATTCCAGCTCCCTCCCCTGGCTTCTGAAGAGCTGCACAACCTGTCTGCTGCCCACTCCCCCTGATGGCTTCTCTAGTCCCAGTAGCCTCCACCCACAGGGGACTTTTAGCAACTCTAGCACATCAGGGTTGTTTTGTCCTCAGAGCCTTTCCACTTGCTGTTCCCTCTGCCTGGAATACACTTTTTCCTGATCCAACACACTATTAAAATCAGCTTAAAGTTCACTTTTTTTCAGAACAGCCTTTTCTGACTGTTTTAAGTAGCCGTCAGTCATCCTGCATCACGTCATCCAGTACAAATGCTCTGCATAGCACCGACCTCCACCTGGAATTTTTTTCTTTGTTTGTTTTTGTCAGTATTTTACCCAATATAATGTGGGCTTCATGAGATCAGATACCTTGTCTCTCCTCTTCAATGCTCTGTCCCCAGTGCCTTTACCACGTCTGGCACATAATAGATTTTCAGTAAATATTTATAAAATAAATGAATATATATACTAGACACTGAAGATACAATATTAGCAATTTTACTTATCATAAGTAACAAGAGAGACTCCCAAGAGACAAAAAAAAAAGAGTAATATGGATGAGGAGAATCTCTTTGTAATAAAAATCTCCCAACTCTGAATGAAAATTCTGTGACATTCTACACATATAGTAAATTCTATTTGACACATTTCTCAATTCTTATGTCCTCCTTCGGATTCAAGAGTTGTTTTCATTTAAGAATGCAGGAATACAGTGGTACTCTAGTTTGGAATAAAACGTATTCAGCTGGTTCTTCATAAATGCTGATTAGGAGGGATTTGAGGGTAGTATAGTTAAAGGAACACAACACAGCTCTTCCGTTCACCATGTGTGATCTTGGGTAAACCCTGAATTCTCTGGGCTTGCTTCCTCCTCTATTAACTGAATGGAATGAAGGGTGAGAAGGTGCCTCTGGTTCTAATAGTCACTATTCTTTGAAGGGATCTTCCCACTAATAGCTAACTAACATTGACTGACCGCCTACTTAATACCAGGTACAATGTTAAGAGTTTTATATGAATCATCTCAGTTAACCTTCACCACAGCTCTAGAGGTAAGTCTTCGGAGGGGGGTTGGTAATCTGGCCACGATCACAGCTTGTAGAAGATGGTACTGGGACTTGATTTTGTGCAGTGCCCGCTACCCCCATTGTCTCTCAACAGGACCCTCCTGGGTCCTGCCAGGGGTGCCTGAAAGGGATTCTGCCAAAACAGGTGTCTATATCATCTGTCCCTTGTAGGAGAGAATTGCCAAAAGCCATGGCTCCCAGTGCGGATTCTGTACCCCTGGCATTGTCATGAGCATGTACACCCTGCTCCGGAACCAGCCCGAGCCTACCATTGAGGAGATTGAGAATGCCTTCCAAGGTATGTGGCTTCATGCACAACTTGAGAGGCGGAATGGCAAATGGGGCCCTGTGGAGGTCAGGTCAGGGCCAGTATAAAAGCCAGGAATGGGTTAGGATGGGAGGGGCTACTCTTTGGAGGGAAGGCTCAGGCTACGCCAACGTAGTGGCTAAGATCTGTTGGAAAAGTAGCCCTCTCTTAGTTTGCAGACATGCTGGGATCACCTGACTTTGTGTTCATCTTCCTGAGGGTCTTCCCGCCCTCCCTCAGCAGTAAGGTGGGGCTGGCAATGGCTGGTTGGCACAAAAGGACATCATTTGGGAAACTCCAGAGACTAGTGATATGGCTTCTTTCCCTCTCAGTTTCCACCACAACAGGATTCTGCCTGGCAAAGATCACATATGGAAGGTGTTCAGGATTCAGTGCCATGGGCAGGGGCTGGCTTCCTGTTTTGCCTTCTATGAATGGGCCCAGGAGCCTGTACCATATGCCTATTTTTCTGAATTGAATAAAGAAGGCTCCCCATCCACTCACCATTTCACTCTATCATTTATTCAGGCACTATACAAGGTACACGGGACACAAGGATGAAAGACACAATCCCTTCTCTCAAGGAGTTTACACTCTGAAGGAGAAGATGGTTTATAATGTAGTGTGATATGCTCACTGATAAAGCTATGACTATGCACCTGTCTCAGTCTGGGCATTGTAGGAAGAATTTCTGGAGGAAGTCATGACAAATTTTCTGAAGTTAGGAGTATGAGGAGGAGGAGAGGCCTTCCAGGCGGAGGAAACAGAATACGAAAAGGCAGGGTGGTAAAGAGAGCACCGAACTGGGCTAGAGCAAAGTCACAAACCTCACCTGCCCTGGAGGCCTGAGCTGACATCGCGGCTTTTCCCTTGGCCTGCAGGAAACCTGTGCCGCTGCACAGGCTACAGACCCATCCTCCAGGGCTTCCGGACCTTCGCCAGGGTAAGTGGGGGCCCTAGAGCAGCAGTGGCCCTGCTCCTAAAGCAGCGACACTCAGAAATCACAGCTGGGAGGGATGACAAGGGCAACCTGTCAACAAAGAAGAATGATAAGATGGTCAGTTAGTGGGTCTTCCTGCTGGGGACATCTGGCGTGGGGAGTGGACTCCTACCAGTCTTATCCAGGGAGGGGCTCTTTTCAATAGCATGGGGACTTCCCTGCCATTGAAAGCCTGGAGACCCACTTCCTGGAAGAGGCACACTGCCCAGAGGCTAGCTTTCTCCAGTGCCTTCAGGCTTGGCAGCTTTTCCTTGGAGACTGGCAGGTGCTGAGCGTGGCATTTAGTAATGATTCAGCCTGGCTCAGCACTCGCGGTCTTCCCCTTTCCTTCTCCTGGCTGCCTTCTGCAGTTGGCACTCTGCTGGGCTTACGAAACTGATAATTAGATCTCCAGACAGTTTGTGAAGCCCTGCAGTGTTCATATAATTCTGGGTGAGAAGCCACAGCCAGGTGTGTGGGCGTTGATTACATAAACATAGACACACACCTGCCATCTGGCAAGGAGGACAGAGAGCTGGCCTCTACTTTCTTGGCTTCATCTCCCTGGGCTTTACCTGGTTCCTCAGCTGGTCAAGTTAATTCTGGCTCCAGTCAAACCATCCCATCATGATTTGATTCTCAGTCCAGGGGACAGTTACAGACTCATGTGATTTTCACTCACATTTTGAATTGGCGCATCACAAAAAGGAGTGTTATGTCCAAATAACCCAAGAAAGCGTGGTTGAAGATGGAGATGGGGCCTTATAAGAATGGAAAACACCACACCCTGGTGAATGCTGCTGGTGATTAAGTATTAGGAGGTATGAAATTGAACAAAAATGATTGAAAGCACAGATCAGAGTCTGCAGACCAGGGTTCAAATCCTATTCCATCACTTGATTGCTACATGACCTTCGGCAAGTTTTCTGGTTTCTAAAATGGTGATCATCATAATACCTACCTTATGGTGTTTGTAAAGATTAAGTACTTCTTATAAAGCTTTTAGAAAAATGCACATCGTAAGTATTCAATAAATGGCAACTATAAATTATGATGCTGACACATTTCTTCCATTGCCCACTATATGATCTTCATAAATTGTTCAGACTTCCCAGAGAACCAGGAATTGTTAATCTTCCCCTTATTTACTTCACAGGAGCCTGCTTAAAGAGATACAATCTAACCAGTCCTCATAGTTTCTCAAAAGAGAAGAGTTTTAGAGTACAGCAGATAATCGTACTCTGTCCCAGGGTCTGAGTTCTATCAACGTTGAAATGATTCCTGATTTCACTGTGCAGAAGAACCTCCCTCCATCCAGCCACCCAACAGTGTACAGCAGAATAAGGCTGAGAGCTCTGAGCAGCCAGAACGCCTGGCACACAGCAAGTGCACAGAAATTCATGCACACTGTTCATTGGAGGTCCCGAGACCTTTATTCTGAATATTTTACACACAGTTCTAACAACTTGGCTATCTAGTTTTCCTGTCCACAGCACACACTAGAAAAAGGTAAGGAGGGTCGGCTAGCGGTGGGCACACTGCTCACAGCAAGAATTGACAATGTCCATCCAGCAACAAGGAAGGAAATTGAGGAACCATAACAGTAGGCACAGGCAAGACTTCTGGTTTCCACTCAGGCATGTAAGGAGTTTAGAAGTCTTGTAAGAAGCTTAGAAGTCTTTATTCCATCCTAACAACAAGTAAGAAGTAGAGCAAAGTGAAAGATGAATGACTCTTTGATCCATCAGAGAAGTGAGGTCACGGGACAAACCATTGCCCCCCCAGCTTGGAGAAACAGACAGGCAGATATAGAGACTTATGACATACCAGAGAAGAAACATGTGAAAAGAGAACTCTGCAGGGACCTTTACCAGGGTAGGAAAACCTAAACAGTGGTTGGCAAATTATGGAGGCACAATGTGGACCAGCTTGAGAGAGCCAAACTCCAGGAGGGTCCAGCTGTAGGAGGGTCCTCATAAGTTTTACCTCCAGAAGCTGTACAAGGTCTTCCCAATAAATACTGGAGACAAACCCCCTTGTGCTTCCAGTAGAGAGAATAGAAAAGAAACCATTTTGAAATACGCCAGAACGTTCTGCCAGAGCCTCTCCAGCTCCCTCTAGCCTTTCACGTGGGGAGAGGTAAATACACAACCCAATCCCTCTTTAGCCGTCCTGTTTCACCTAAGAAAGAAAGACAGAGAGAGAGAGAGAGAGAGAGAGAGAGAGAGAGAGAGAGAGAGAGAG